CCCAGGACTGAGGCTGTAGATCCAGGACTGAGGCTGTAGATCCAGGACTGAGGCTGTAGACCCAGGACTGAGGCTGTAGATCCAGGACTGAGGCTATAGACCCAGGACTGAGGCTGTAGATCCAGGACTGAGGCTGTAGACCCAGAACTGAGGCTGTTGATCCAGGACTGAGGCTGTAGACCCAGAACTGAGGCTGTAGACCCAGGACTGAGGCTGTAGATCCAGGACTGAGGCTTTAGATCCAGGACCGAGGCTTTGCGATGCCAGTCCGAGACCAGTCCACAGGTTCTAGATAACAGAGCCGGATTCAGGGTCCCATCATCACTCCATGAAACAGACAATGGAACAACGGGTGAATAGCAGTGAACAGACTACAGCTGGAGCCATAATGATGACAAAGTAGGCTGAGAATAGGACACTACTATCATTAAAGATTGTAAAATGTCTGGTGTTATTGTTCTCTCGTAGTGAAGTAATTAAAAAACGTCGCCCCGTATTGTCCAGTTAGCCGCTAACACAAACAAAACTCTATTTATTTTCCATAAACGTTCACAATGAGCGCTACTGAAACCCTGCGTCCTCTTCCTTCCTGACTTCCTGTTTGGTCTACTTTGGTCTGTTTTGGTCCAGGAGCACTTGGAGGCCTTGGAGAGGGAGAAGCAGGCTCTGACCCAAAGAATGGAGCAGCTGCTGCAGGAGAACCGTGGCCTGGTTCAGATGAAGCTGAGTCTGAGCATGGAGGTGGCCACGTACAGGTAAACTCAGACACCACTTTTTCTCACGGAGAGGAAGTAATCAGGGAGACAGGAAGTACATATCTCAATTCAGAACTATGAGACCTGGCCATGGATCTATGATAATAACTGGATAGGGTATTACTAGCTTATCCCACCCACGGGCACAGGGGGCGCTGTGGTACTGCAGACTAAATTCACGAGGGCTACCCAGAAAAAAGTCCCATAGAACTCGATGTAAACTAAAACAGCTCGACCTCAGCTGACAGAGAACCTGACAGAGAACCTGACAGAGAACCTGACAAAGAACCTACAGCTTTCAGAAAGATCGGATTTTTTGGGGTTTTTAGTGTCCCTTGTCATCCTGAACTTTTTTTCATCTTAAATCCTTCGGTTTTCTTTAAATCCACACTTTACTGCCACAAACTCTGCTCCTTTCCTTCCCGCTCTGACTCCGCTCTGCTGCTGCTCTGATCAGCTCTGATTGGTCAGAGCGCGGCCGAGCCTCATGTGCACGTGCATGAGATCCACACATGCGTATTTGGCGCGAAGCATCATGGGAGCTCGTCCACTGCACAGAACCGGGAGGACCAGACGATGCCCAAATACAGGCGAGTTCCGCTAATCTTTCGGTCCCTGTGAAGTCCCATGCACTACTGAGCACAAGCCATTCATTTGAATAGGGCGCCATCTTGGATCACTGGGGCTTGGAACTGGCCCCATGTAAATCTTCAATGATTCTGAGTCAAACTGCTTATTTTCGGTGGCGTGTGCAGTTGTATCAAGTGGAGAACTAATGGAGTCTCTATTTTGCTAAAATATATTTCTCGACAGGTTTTGATTTTTAGGAAAATACCTAAAAAGGAACAGAAAAAATGCATTTGCCTGTGTAGCATCTTTATTTAATCTAACGCTAATGGAACAGCAGCATCACAGAGAGGGACAGGAAGAAGCTGGACAAGGTCATCAGGAAGTCCAGCTCAGTCCTGGGCTGTTCCCTGGACACAGTGCAGCTGGTGGGGGACAGGAGGGTCCTGAGCAAACTAACATCTATGCTGGACCATGACTGTCGCCCCCTGCAGGACACTCTCTCTGCTCTGGAGAGCAGCTTCAGTGACAGACTTATTCACCCTCGATGTGTGAAGGAGAGGTTCCGTAGGTCTTTCCTTCCGGCTGCTGTCAGACTGTACAACGAGAATGTGTAACAGGAACTGCTGAGTCTGTACAAGTGTCACTGATAATTCACTAGTAACTTTGTCACTATAATCACTTTACCTGTTATGAGTACTACTACAGTACTACATATCTGATATTTACTGTTATCAGTACTACTGCATTATTACATATCTGATAATTCTGCCTTTCACCGTCACTTTACCTGTTGATATTATTTCTGATGTTTATTCTGCTCATATTCTCATATTCTCCGCTGCTAATGTATAATAGACATCTGTAAATACTCCGAACCAAGTGCAATTATAGCCCAGAGTTTATCTTATTTTATTTTATCTTAATTTTCTTGTCTATTATCTTAAATAATAGACTTTGATGTGTGCAATCTGAGTGCTCTTATTTCCTTTCTCTGCTGTAATGTGCAACGATGACACTGAAATTTCTCCACTGTGAGACTAATAAAGGTTTATCTTATCTTATCTTATCTTATCTTAATAACAAATCACTGGAATGACAATAAAGATATTTCACATTCGTAGATGCAGGAAGGACCCAAAATGCAAGAATGCAAAAAAATGATGATTTAATGATGAATAAACAGAAGACCAGAATAAAAACGAAGCAAAAATCCAAATGAAACTCAGCAACAAAGACATTAAAGGTGCAGTAAGCGGTGTTGTTAGCATAGCCATAGCACCAACCGGAAACCACTCCCCCTTCCCCTCCCTCTCCACCCAAACCGGAAGCGTGGGCAGCAAACATGAAATTGGCATTTTCTGTTCAGCCATTTTAGGTTTTAGAAAATCCGATAACTCCGGTGCATTCACGAGAAACAGGAAGAGGGTGAAGGCCAAAAAGTGTTTTACTAATTTTCGGAGACTATAGACATCTGGTCAATTCCATTACTATTTGAAAACACTTGATAACTTGATACTTTTAAGGTTTAGGGACGTTTTTCCACAATAAAAATAAATAAAAATAATGCGTCTGGAAAAAAAACACTGACTGCATCTTTAACAATGGACCAGCAACAAGGGAAGAAGAGCACATGGTACACATAGTTCCAAACACATTGGGATTAGGCAAACACAGGTGAAACACATCCGGGCGGGGCAGACTATTGACCAGGGGAAAATGACAGGAAGCAACATAATAAGTCTCACTGTTGATGGCCACAAACAATGTGTAATATTTCTTCATAAATTACTGCATTTTCGCCAGTTTTCTTTGCACAAATGAAAGATTTAAAATATGACTGCGGCGCTAATGTGTTTGAGATAGTGGGTCCAGGGTTAAATATCTGCAGAGAATCCACTATAGATACAGTAGATAGATACTTTATTGATCCCAAAGGTTTGTGCATTGGTCCCTCGCTCGCAATCATACAAGCATAAAAACATAGCATACAGTTAAAAGATAAACAACATAATTTAAAATGACAATAAAATACATTAAGATCATTAAAAGAGAGAAGTTAAGGCACTGCACGACAATTCTCAGGACCTCTTCCTCCTCCCTCCCTCCTCCCCCCTGCTCCTCCCTGAAGTGGCTTTGTTATAGAGCCTGATGGCGTTGGGGACAAACTAGTTTTTGAACCGGTCCTTGGAGTCTGGAGGACAAGGATGTTTCTCTGGAGGACATAAAGAAAGAGTTACGGGGATGGCTCTGATTGGACAAGATTGCCGAGATCTTGGAGAGTCACGAACATTCAAAGCGTCTCGTTGAAATCAAACCAGAACCGAACCTAGAGCTGTGGAGACGAGAGGTCGATGTGTGGAAGCTTCAGCCTCGTCTCTTCTCCCCCGTCACAGAAGTGCATTGTGGGGTCTTGTTTCTCGTGACCCCTCCTCGAAAATATTGACCCTCGCCTTCACGAACCAAGAGCAGAGGGAGTGTAGGGTGACGGAGGAGAAAAGGTTTCAAGGTCAGTTATTGTTAAAACACTGTCGACAAATAAGGGTTTGGAGCTAAATTCAATTCAAGCCTCCACATGTGTGAGCGCAGACAGTGGCCTTAGTTCTGCTCGGTCTGATCTTCACTCTTGTCTCTGAGGCTGTGGTCGAACGCTGCAGATGGTGGTTCAATGCCGGGGTCTGGCCTCTATTTCCATAACAAGAGTCCTGCTCCTGCCCTGCCCCTGCCCCTGCCCCTGCCCCTGTGGCTCAGGACCAACAAAAGTCATCCCACGACCCCCACACACACACCCTCAAAGCAGCAGGCCCCACATAACTTCTCATAATTAACTAAGATGATGTCTTAATTAAGCAAGGATGGAGAAATCGAGGTGTTTTTATTATATAGTTATACAGCAGGAAATACAGTTTGTTTTGATCAAAGGTTCTACAATGGAAAGTTTTAAGGCTAGTATTTTTAAGGCTTAGAAGCTTCTTTTACTAAGACAAAAAAGCAAAGAAAATGTACTGCTTAATTTACTGCTTAATTACATGTTTTGACGGTAGACTTCCGACAAAGGCAGGTAATTATAGTTCAACCTGGAGAGACTATAAGAGACGAGATGCGTTTAAGAGTTGTTTATTTTATGAATTTTATGGAGTTTGTTTATTGGTTTGGAGCTTAGGCCCCGGCTGGAGCCGTGCTCTGAAGAGATCTGCGCCTGGGTGCAGATCATGATCCCCCGGGGCCTAGACACTGGTGGTGGCAACAAGGCAAGGTGAATGTGAGAGTGAAGAACTCCTGAGGCGGAGGTGGTTGCAGCTTGAAGTCCGTTTGGTGGCTGCAGGGAGTTGATTAAGACAGGCTGAGTAAGGCGTGGTCAAGCCTGGTCTGATAACGTAGGTAGTCTACCATCCTGAACCTCCGCTTAAGCTGCATCTTTCTTTACTTTTATGCCTGAAGGTAAACTGCAGGAGTCCAGCAGCAGCAGAAACACAATAACCATCCATTTCAACAAATAAATACATCATTACAAAAGTTTCTAACAATAGTATTAAGGTCACAGCAGCAGAGGTGGAACAGCCGCTGGTGCTGAGCTGCTTCCTATCCTCTGGTGGATGTACAGAGTCTGCTAGGTTCGGACCATTTCCCCTGCTCTGGTTCAGAGTGAAATTCTAAGTGTTCCTCCAGTGGATGTAGGCCTGATCTCATTAACATATACAACATTTTGGGCGTGAAAGCAGCAGCGTTACACCTGCACAAGTAGTCTGAGTTTAATGTATATTCATGTTGTTGCAATAGTTGGATCCTGTTAGGATGTGTTAGACTGCTGTACGACAGATGGTCCATGTTTTCTGTATCTGTCCCTACTCAAAAAAGAGAGAGGGCGGATTGAAGATAAAACATTTGAATCACATCATTGCACCACAGTTTGAGAAACACTGGACTCTACAGCCACATCATGTTGTCCTGGGTCATATAAAGCTCGACTCCCTCATTCTCTCTGTGGATCTCTGTAGACCCCTGTGGACCTCTGTGGACATCTGTAGACCTCTGTGGACCTCTGTAGACTTCTGCAGACCTCTGTAGACCTCAGTGGACCTCTGTAGACCTCTGTAGACCTCTGTAGACCTCTGTAGACCTCTGTGAACCTCTGTAGACTTCTGTGGACCTCTGTAGACCTCTGTAGACCTCTGTGGACCTCTGTAGACCTCTGTAGACCTCTGTGGACCTCTGTAGACCTCTGTGGACCTCTGCACACCTCTGTGGACCTCTGTGGACCTCTGTGGACCTCTGTAGACCTCTGTAGACTTCTGCAGACCTCTGTAGACCTCTGTGAACCTCTGTAGACCTCTGTGGACCTCTGTAGACCTCTGTAGACCTCTGTGGACCTCTGTAGACCTCTGTAGACCTCTGTAGACTTCTGCAGACCTCTGTAGACCCCTGTGGACCTCTGTAGACCTCTGTAGACCTCTGTGGACCTCTGTAGACCTCTGTGGACCTCTGCACACCTCTGTGGACCTCTGTGGACCTCTGTGGACCTCTGTAGACCTCTGTAGACTTCTGCAGACCTCTGTAGACCTCTGTGGACCTCTGCACACCTCTGTGGACCTCTGTGGACCTCTGTGGACCTCTGTAGACCTCTGTAGACCTCTGTAGACCTCTGTGGACCTCTGTAGACCTCTGTAGACCTCTGTAGACTTCTGCAGACCTCTGTAGACCCCTGTGGACCTCTGTAGACCTCTGTGGACCTCTGTGAACCTCTGTAGACCTCTGTAGACTTCTGTAGACCTCTGTGGGAGATGACCTGTTGTTTTGTGTTTTCCCAGGACGCTGCTGGACAGTGAGAGCCACAAGAGAGACGGGGTTTTGCAGAAGCAGCCGAGAAACATTTACAGCAAAGGTAGCGAGCCACACGTAACACCAGCACTGAGACCTGACCTCACATGGCGTCTGTGCAATATTAGAACCACTCAACAAGGTTACTTTACTGACAATCCACTGTGTCCCAGAGCCTTAGCTGCTAACAACGACAGATGCTAGAGATTTTATACTTTCTTCTCAATTATGCTAAAGCTAGAGATTGTATTGTATTTTGTTATTGAGTAATTGTTCATTTATCTTCCTTTACATTCTTATTTACATTCCTACTGTTCTGTAACTGGTGATTTTCCCCACCGTGGGACAAATTAAGTATGATAAATGATAAATATTATTGCGTTGCTTTAGTATAGCGCTTTTTTGGACACTCAAAGACGCTTCACATGTCATTGATCTTTCCCTCCATACACGGTGGTGGTATACTACAAGTGTAGCCACAGCTGCCCTGGGGCACACTGACAGAATCGAGGCAACCAGTCTGTGCCATCGGCCCCTCCCACCACCACCAACCACTCACACACAACACCAGACTCATTCTATAGTAATAAAAGTATTTGGTTTAGGTGCGACAGTGGCTCAGTTGGGAGAGCATTGGCCTTTGAGCCTGAAGGTTGTGGGTTCAAGCTCACCGCAAGACCTTCTCCACCAACTCCCACTGATATCTGCTCTCGTTGTGTCCTTGGGCAAGACACTTAACCCACTTTGCCTATAAGCAGCTCTGAAGTGATGTTAGCTGCTTGCCTTGATGTGTGTGTGTGCATCAAACTGAAATGTCCCCTTTGTGAGACGAAAAAAGGACCTTCTTCTTTAATTAATCTTAAAAATAGAGCATTTATTTGAATACCTGATTAATATGACCATGCAGGCCTTTGAGAATCCGTTTTTCGTCCCTCCCGAGTTACCCTCGTCTCGTTGATTTTGTGTCGAGTAATTAGTGGAAGCGTGACTAAAAGCCTCAGTCCTGGTGCGACGTTAGCTTTAATCCTGTTAACGTGACCGGTGCCATGTGGGGTCTCTGCTAAAGGCCCGAGCTCAGCACTTTACTGAAATGGAAGCCACCAGAGGCAATCCCCCCGATGGATGCTCAAACCAGATGGCTCTGCTTCTGGTAACTCAGACAACACCAGAGGAAATGATGATCAATAACTCCCCATTAGTGTCCGCTGCCTCCACAGACATCCTCCTGTGTACCGAAGCTTTACGGGGGCTATTTTCAATGTCTCTGTAATGTGATCATCTAAATGCATTTCAGGGGAAGAGAAGATTCAAAGATAATATGAAACCTGTTAAAAAGGAAGAGTATGTAGATTTTGTGTCAGACCGTATTCTCCAAGGTAAATATAAACGTGGTAAAATTTTACATTGCTTCTTCTGATACCACATTTATTCTTTGATAATTACAACAAAAATGTGAATAATTCAGTTTAAAAGCACACATTTAGTTTCCCCACATTTTGACTACTCCTATTCAAACCAATGGAATTCTGAGATATTCTGAAAAAAATTCACTAAAACGCTCTAGATTTATTAATTAAAAGTTATTTTTAAGTGCTAAAACTTGTGAATTTAACTTGAAATACAGCAACGGCTAAATGCTAACTGCTGATGGTAAACAGTGTGTTGCTATGGTAACTAGTACTGGGTCGTCTCTAGGAGTTAAGGGTAGAGTTGTAAAAAAATAAATAATAATAATTAAAAATAATTTAATAAAAACAATGACATAGAAATAAACAGGGCTAGATTTGCAGGTCTGTGGTGTAAAGTGGGGCAGCGATTACCTTTCTGTGTGGAGTTTGCATGTTCTCCCTGTGTCCTCCGGATGCTCCTGTTACCCTCAGCACTAAAAATATAGTTCAGGGTGAGAGTGTGTGTTTGTGAGAGTGACTGTGGGACAGCGGGGGCAACGATCCGAAGGTGACTCTGAGATTCTGGAGGTTCTGAGATTTCTAAGAACGAGGGAAAAACCGGTGCGTGTTTTCAGATGTTCCGTGATGAAAGCAACATTTATTTGTTTTATTTTCCAAGATGTAGTAGCGCGAATAACACACATAATTTGTTTTAAAGTTTTTTTCTTTACTCCTAGTTTTGTAATTACAGGCCATATTCAGTTGCAGGCTTCACCTTTCTTTGAGGAATGAGTTTAAGCGTTGATTTTCTTATACAGTAGCTCATTGCGTGATTGTTTATTCATGAGTCTTGCCCTTTTGTCCTCCGCAGATGCAGCTTTCAGTCCATGGGGAGCTAGAGACAATTACCAGCTGTCTCCAAGCCTCAAGACCATTTCATCACCACTGGTTCGTAGTATCCCTATGACCGGAAAGACAAAGTCACCAGCGATAACATCCACGCCCGTCCGTTACCAGCAGTATGTGCCAAGACGAGACAAACTGGGAATTTCAAAGGACAAGGTTGAAGACAAAGAGGATTGCCAAAAGCCAGAGGTGACTCCATATCCTAAGGTGCTCAAAGACGGGGCAGTGGAGAACTTCCGGCCACAAGAAGTAAACGAAAAGGTGACATATGCTGAGCCACTTTCTCCACCAGACGAGCAAGAAAAAGTATTATATTTGGAGAATAACAACTGGGATGAAGATGTTGATCAACCATCTGAGCAAAAGCAAAGCCCCTTCATACAATCTGAGTTTATACAAATTGAGAAAGAAGAAGTAGAGAAGCAGAAAGCACCTATAGATGCATGGATTGAGGAGCAAATTGTTAGCCAAACCGAACAACCTAGCGTAGCATCAAGTTGTTATCAAGTCGCTCCAAACCTCGAGGAACCCTTCACCGATGAGGCTACCCCAGAACTTATCGAGGAAGCGTTCACCGAGGAGCTATCCAGTGTTGCTGTCAATTCTCAACAAGAAAAACCTCTTGCGATTGATCATATGGAAAAGCCACAAGAACTGATTGATGCGTGGGTTGAGAAATCTATACAGGATACTAAAGTTGAGTCTTCCGATTCAGAAAAAGAGGCATTTGTAGAACCCAACTTTGACTCCAAGTCCAGTAGCCCAGCCTCTGAATGTGATTTGGAAGAACCTCTCCAAAAACAAGTCAGTCAATTAACATTTGAGAGTGTTGAAGCATCAATGGATGACAACAGTCCGCCCAAGGAGAAGTTATACCCTGATGGAGAGGAGATGGACACATGGGATGAGGGAGTTCCAAAGGCTGGTGATCTGGAGCTACCTAAAGAAATTTTGAAGCAGCATGCTGAATCAGAGGAGGATAGTTCAGCAAGAGAAATACAACAGCAAAATCAAGAGGTACGAGAAGGTGAAGAACAGCGACCTCCTTTGAATCCTGTGGAACAAAAGGAGTCATTGGAAGAAGAGATTCCAGACAAAAGCGCAGACGACGATGAACAAGATGATTCCCAAAATGTGTCTGTGTCATGGCGGACTGAGGTGGAGGGAGATAGCTACGCCCAGGACAACACTCTTGCCGACACGAGACCTCTGATCAGATACAAGAGCGACGAAACCGACGCAAACACGCAAGCTTCACACTTCGACGACGATTTCAGTGACGCAGAACAAGAAAAGAAAGTTGGAGAGATGGAAAGCGGAGCAGAGTGGAACGAGGAACAGGCGAGACGATTTGGAACAATGGAAGATCTGTGCGAGGAGGCGGAAGGACAGGTTTTGGATGAGGAGTACGATCACCAATACCTTAGGAATTATGGGAAGGATGAAGAAGAAAGTGACGCAGATGAAGATGCAGATGATACACAGCATGAAGTAATCAGAACGGTGAAGGATGAAGAGATAGACACTGATAAGCTGGTGGAGCAGGAACTAGAAAATCTCACAACAGAATGCTTTACCACACATTTTGCGCAACTGCAAACTAGTACAGCCGTAACATTGCCAGACGGAGCTCGAGCTGACCAACCTATAGCTTGGAATGAAGCTCTGGAAGGCATGCCAGAGACTATTGACAAGGAAGATTTTAATCAAAGTGAAGCTCGAGATGAACCAAAGAATGATGAACTCTTTGAGACACCACAACAGCAAACAGATAAAGAGGTCCAAGAAGTTCAAGAATTAGTTGACCTAGAGATGAAAGATAGTCCCGATACATCAGTGACACATTGCGACATCACAATGGACATTTTTGATGATGGGAGTAAACTTGTTAGCACATCAACAAGTCAAGAGCTGTCGTTTGACCAGAAAGAACCAAAAAATGTAGGAGAACTCGTCAAAGAGGGAGCTCTGTCGTTTGTCCATGGCATGCTAACTGCCCAAGGAGTGAAATTCAGCGATGGAAAAGATTCCAATAAACCTTCAAATACTCTTCAAGAAGTTGCTGACCCTGAGATTGGAGTTGGTATAAAGCACACCACACCTGAAGAAATGTTTAAGCCTGAAGAAGCTTATGCAGGATTCCCCGAAGTTCCTCCAACGACCGAATGGGAAGTCCTGGAACACCCTTCAGAAATCAATGATGGGTTTGAAGGTGACTTCCCGAAACATTTCTCCAGTGATGACAAAATCGAACGCGATTCTTTCTCACCGACAGAGGAGCCCTTAAACATGTCCCCAGATAGTGTCCGAGAAGAAGACGACCTCTTGATTGTAAAGGACCAGCTGAAAACAAATGGAAAAACAAACTTGGATGAATTGATTAGCAACAATGCCAACAACGACTTCTGGGTGTCTCCTTTGGAAACAGGTGCCACGTATCAACCTGTTGATAATAATAAGCATGCTGAGTGGAAAATAGGTTTTGCAAATGTAGACGGTAGTAAGTCAGAGGAGCTAGCCGAAAAACCAGAGAAGCCTCATAAGAAAAAAGAGGTTTCGCAAATCTTCATCAAAGGGGTTGTCAAAGGAGAACTCGTCCATTCTGAAGAGTCTGATAGTGATAGCGAAGTGATGTCTTCTGGGGAGGAATGAAAAATATATGAATTTTAGGTTACACTTTAGTTTAGCCCTCAATAATTAACAGATAATTAAGTGTTAAATGTATGGTTAGGGTTACATTGCCTTATTCAACATCTAGCTAACTATGACACTTTCTCATGTGTGTTTAGGCTAGGGCTAGGGCTAAGGTACACTAATTACCACTTAATTAGCTGTTAATTAGTGTGGGCTTCTATAAAGTGTTACCAAATGTTATAGTTATATCTAGTTGTGTTCATTCTAGATCCATTATTTCAGTGATTAGCGGGACCAAAGCCGTGCCTTGGGGTGCACCACCATCCACCACTGTGCCAATACTGTTTATTCTCTGTTTGTCTTCCCCTTTATCGACAGAATACCAGTTAGAATCCTAATTGGCTGCAGAATAGTCCCAGGCACACACACAATGGAAAGGTTTATCTGCATGAAAGAGCAGCGTGGAGGTAGAACAAAGGCGTGTCGTTTGAAAGTCGAAGCGTTCATTGATTTGTGTCTAATCTGATGCACTGACTGAGAGAAATCAATGAGTAGAAGAAGAAGGGTAGAGTTGCTGGAAGGGATGCTATTTTCACAGTCTGGGCGCACATTAGTCATTTTTAGACATTAAGGCCAGTGTAAGCATGTTGGCACAGACATTATTTAAGGCCCAAGTTTTAAGTATTGTTGAGATACAGTTTCCCCCAATTGAATTTGAGATATTTGCCCTGTTACGGTACAATTGTCTGTTCTCAATAAAGAAGTAGAGTATACATGAAACATCTGTCTGTGATTGTGTTTATTTAATATGTTTAAATCATCCATCAAAAATTATATTCAAAAAACGTATATAGAGAGATATATTGTAATGTGTTATGACACGGAATTTAGCAAAGGCCGATTAAGCTTCTTTAACTCATTGACTGCCAGCCATTTTAGATGACTTCACTGATTTTCAAGACTCACAAAATATCATGTGCTATGACTATGTGAAATAATAATAATAATAATAATAATAATAATCTTTATTTATATAGCACTTTTAAAAACAGTGTTTACAAAGCGCTGCACAGTCAGCATGATAAACAATAAAAACAGTCATAATGCAAGGTCAAAATAATTAGATACAGAAACACAAAGCAAACAGAGCAAAACACAAAAGAGACTCAACAAAGACAAAGCAGACAATAAAATACAGCATCGGAAGTTTAAAACTAACAGTTAAAAGCTGTTTGATAAAAGTGGGTTTTAAGAAGAGATTTAAAAGAGGATACTGATGGTGCGAGCCTTATCTCCTCGGGCAGGTCGTTCCAAAGCCGAGGAGCCCGGACAGAGAAGGCTCGGTCACCTTTCGTCCGGAGCCTCGACCTTGGAACAGTCAACAGGGACCTGCCCGAGGATCTAAGGCTGCGGGGGGGCTCGTAGGGGGTTAAAAGTTCAGAAATATAGCTGGGTGCCAGACCTAAACGAGCTTTAAAAGTAATCAGTAAAATCTTAAAAATCAATTCTAAAACGCACAGGGAGCCAGTGGAGAGACGCTAAAACAGGGGTGATGTGCTCCCTTCTGTTAAAACCAGTGAGAAGTCTGGCTGCTGCGTTCTGGACCAGTTGGAGGCGGGAGAGGGATTTAGCGTCGAGACCGGAGAGGAGGGAGTTGCAGTAGTCGAGGCGGGAGACGATGAGGGCGTTGACAACTTTATGGAGATCGGGAGGAGTGAGAATGTTTTTAATCTTTGAGATTGTGCGGAGGTGATAGAAGCAGGTTTGGGTGGTTTTATTGATGTGGGAGCGGAAAGTGAGGTGAGAATCAAAAATGACACCAAGGTTACGGGCGGAGGGAGTGATGTTTGAGGATAGGGGGCCGAGGTGGGTTTGTATGTGGGATATAGATGGAGGCAGGTTGATGAGGAGGACTTCTGATTTGGAGGTGTTGAGCTGTAGAAAGTTATGGGCCATCCAACGGTTCACATCGTTAAAACAGTCGACCACAGCAGCCAGACTTCCAGGGTCGTTTGGTCTCAGCGGGAGGTAAATATGAAACCAGATTCTGAAAGATTGGACAGTTTACTTTCATCGGCAAAAATAAATTGGTTTTTAGCTAGTTTTGTTTTCCTGTAATCCCCAGTCAAAAAGAGGGAAGTTTGACATAAATCTCCAGTCTTATGGCAGTCAAAGAGTTAAATATATACACATATTGTGGTTTAAAACTAGAACTTTAAAAACAGGTTTACATCGAATTTCTGATTATTGTCAAAACTAAAGAGGATTTCACTCAAGGCCAGTTTATTTGTATAGGACAGTTCATACACACACACAAAGGGAGCCAAAGTGCTTAACAAAACAAAATAATCACAGTACATTAGAAAGACGTCTTCAGTTGTATTCACAGCAACACAAAAGTGATTGTAACCTGGATTAAGTCATTTCTATAATTGGAAGATAGCAACGTTATTACCTGGACATATTTCGACGCTAAACTTCCATCGTCCTCAGGAAGACGCCAACCTACACACTCAGGGACCACTACTCAACCCCTGGAGATATCCTGCAGAGTAACGCTCTGAAATAGCATTGGTAGTTTAAAATCGTTTCAAAAGTTTTTCTGATTGTGGACATGAAGCAGCTCTTTGAACACAAGCCAAGATACATCCAACACCAACATCCCAAACGCATAAATGTATTTTTTCATAAAGCAAACATAGAGTGGGCCCTACATGGTTCGTACCAGGATTAATCCCACATGTCTCAGATGTGTAGATCAGCAAACAGCCGTCTCTGGGAAAGTCCAAGGAGAGAACAATGTGTGACCTCACCTCGCCTCCTTCCTAAGCCTCCTCTCTCCTTGCCTCCTCTGTCCTCTCTCCTTGTCTCCTAGCCCCTGCCCCTCCCAGCATGCTTTGAGGCTGAGCAGGGCAGAACAATTGTCGCCGTAGCAGAAGCTCGCGCTGACTGTGAATCAGAAGGAAGGAAGCTGCAGCTGTATTCAGACGTGGGCAGTGGAATGACGGCACCTCACTGGCATGTGCCCACCCTGCAGACGGCAAAACAGAAAACGTTCATGGGAATGGGAAAACGCTTAAGTCCACTGTATAGTTATAATCAGTTAAAAACATTAATACGAAATGTTGTTGTATATTTTGACTCAATATCCCACTGAAATATTTAGAAAATGAAATGAACTTCAACTTGTTTTGTATAGCCCTAAATCATAACAGCAGCCATCTTGGAGGACTTGTAGATTCACCAATCAGAGAATCAACAGATCAGAGAATCAAACATTGACTGTAGGAGCCATTGGTCCACAGGGAGAGAGATGACCAACGTCCATAAATGTCCGTATATGTCCACAAATGTCCTGGATCATCACACTCCAAACCGGTCGAGAAAGGGTCGCTGTGGCTGCAGGTTTTCTATCAGACCCAACAGGAGCAGAGCAGACTCCTCCCATTTCCTCAAGAGAGTTCAGACTTAAGGCCTGTGTACACTCGCGCAGCGCGGCGTACGTTAGCGGTTGCGCTGGACCTACGCAAGCACAGTTGGTGGTACACTTGCGCGTTCCCCTTGCAAAGTTTTGAAGATAATATTGTAATCCCACAACCAACCACGTGATGGCGATCTCACAGGAGTTGCCTGAGAAACCAAAGAGGTCCTGTTTACGCTGCTACTTTCTCCTCTTCAGAACAAAAACATGAGCAAAGCTGTTTGAGATCATTACATGTGTTTCTACTGTAGGTTTATGTGACAGTTCTAAACTCATCGTTTCATAACTCATTTAACTGTGATACTGTGAATAAAGACACAGTTCTTGTTGGAAACATAGTTATTATTCAATTTTATTCAGCACAAGCAGAAAAACAATAATAACGGCTTATTAAACAAGCGCGAGGTCTGATATTTCTCTGTACAGACCGAGCAAGCGAGGTTAATAAATGTTTCACTATATGACTATTTTTCATTTATGCAAATATCGATCTCCGACTTGGTTTTCCTAATCGTGTTTTTATCTTTCTGATCCGTAACGAAGTTGTCAATCTCTTCTTGACTGTTAGGAGTTGTGTTTTTGTCGTTATTTGCTGTTATTACTTCCTCTGGCTCTTTGAACTCGTCCGGATAATAGAATTCACTGGAGAATGCTCCCAGTCGTAGCTCATTTCTTTTTTACAGAGGAAAGACATCAAATTTGATTCTCGCTGCGGACCAATTGTCATGGTAACGGCCCGAGATGGGAAAATATCAGCCAATCAGAGCGCACGTACGATCCAAGTCATATAATAAGTGGTAAATATCTGAGACCAAACATGAACGATTTACAAGTGCAGGAGGAATTTAACAGACGCAATGAGCTACAAGTTCAGATTCAAGCAAAGACAGGAACAGTGCAAAAGAAACGACTGCACAGTTTATAAGTTATATGAAAGTTAGATATATACAACAGAACTGAACAGTCTACAGTCTCCGCGTGTATCAGGCTCTGAACCATGATCCCAAACTACTTTTCCTTTGAAGCTATCTGCTCCGAAGTGCCTCGTCCATGCTCCCTGCAGCAGCTCCATGCTTCCGACCCTAACACACACACGGACCAATCACAGCGAAGCTTCTCTGCGGAGCCGGCTGCGTAGTTGGACATTTTCGAGGGTGCGCGGCAGGCTACGCCACGTCACCACCGTAAGCTCTGCGCCGTGCGACTTTACACTAGGCTTTCACCTGAAGATTTGAGAAAATGGGAGGAGTCTGCTCTGCTCCTGCTGGGTCTGATGGAAAACCTGCAGCCACAGCGGCCCTTTCTGGACCGGTTTGGACACCGCTGCCTTTTACGGTTGTTGGTCATAAATTATGGAATGAGCTGCCCCTGTGTGTTGGCCTGTCTGATTCACTTCCTGTTTTTAAGTCTCGTCTCAATTCAAAATCAATTAAAAGCCAATGAGTCCAAGCACTCACTTGGACTCATTGGCTTTTAATTGATTTTGAATAGATTTTTTGCTGTAAACAGTGTGTTTTTTCCACTGCTTTGTATATTTTTGTATGTCTTTTTATATACAGTATATAGCACTTTGATCAACTTTGTTTTTATCAGTGCTTTATAAATAAACTGGCCTGGACTGGACCCCCCCAGGGAGCCCCAGACTGAGAGAGGGATCCGCTCCCACGGACAGACTGGCTGTAGGTCCAGGACCGAAGAAGCTCCCAGACCCAGATACCCAGTCCACAGGTGCAGGTAAAAGAGGCCGGGTTCAGGGGTCCCATTACCACGTTATAAAACCAACAATTGGACAGCGGGTGAATAGCAATGAACTACAGCTGAAGTAATATGACGACAGATAAAAGAGAGAAGAGGATAGTGCTCAAGTTTCTGTTTTACTGCGTGTGCAAAGTAAAAAAACGTGAGCAGTTTTAGCGGCTCAGTCCGACTTCTGCGTGTGCGTTGGTCTCTTTTCTCCAAAGTTCATATATTTTACACACACGTTTAAAACATAGCCCCTCCCCCCACCCAGACTCAACCTCACGTGGCCCCAGCTGGATCGAACACACAAAACAAAGCTTTTTTTCTGTTTTTTTAATATATGTTTTATCATGTTCACACATACATATAGAAACATACAAATACATCAGCTCCTACACATCTCCAGGACAGTACCGTTTTTTTGTTTTTACATACTTTATTTTATTTTAATCAATTATTATTTTCTTTGGTCATTGCTTTGGATATTAAAGAATACCCTTTCATAGATAATATATATTTTTTTTTAATTCACACATATGTATATACAAACACCTATTTGTTTCCAGGACAGTACTTGTTTTTTGTTTGTAAGTACTTTGCTTTGTGTTAATTAATTCCTATTTTTCATTGCTTTGGATGTTAAAGAACACCCCCCTCCCCACCCTCTCCCTCCTCCTCCAACATATCCTGCACTACCATGTTGTACATAGTAATTTATGTTTTGCTTTACAAATAGACCCACGGCCGACGACCGCAGAAGTAGCACGGGGCCCGACAACGTCTCACCGATGTCACTATTTGGCCTCTTTTTCCACAATGTCATTTAAAGACAGACCAACCGTGTAACCACTTAGTCCTCCCCACTCTAAACCCACCGGTCCGGTCCAGACCAAAGACCGCTGACGTGTATTGATGCAGGTGGGGGGTGGTGGGGGGTTGTTAGCATGCTGCAGTCCATTTACTGTATCTGCAGAGGTAGTAAACGTGGCGAGCTCACCGGGGAACGTGGCGAGCTCACCGTGGGGGGAGTACATGTACGAGTGTGTGTTCTGCTAACCGTTCACCATCCGTCATCTGTCGCCATTGATTTATCCAGGCTCTTCTACGACAGGAGGATTGACGAGGTGAGGGACGGGACGGGTTTGTGGGACCCGAGACACAGAGGAGAGCGCCATGTTTGTTACAGAAGAGATGGAAGTGTGATGTCATGACAGCGACGCTAACGTACGACAAAGGAGGCTCTCTGGCTTTTATTAACATTTATGGACATTGGTCACCGCCCTTTATGGACCAATGGCTCTCTCTGGTCTCTCTCTGGTCTCTCTCTCTGGCCTCTCTCTCTGGTCTCTCTCTGGTCTCTCTCTGGTCTCTCTCTCTGGTCTCTCTCTCTGGTCTCTCTCTCTGGTGCCTCTCTGGTCTCTCTCTGGTCTCTCTGGTCTCTCTCTCTGGCCTCTCTCTCGGGTCTCTCTCTCTGGTCTCTCTCTCTGGTCTCTCTCTGGTCTCTCTCTGGTCTCTCTCTGGCCTCTCTCTGGTCTCTCTCTGGTCTCTCTCTGGTCTCTCTGGTCCCTCTCTCTGGCCTCTCTCTCTGGTCTCTCTCTGCTCTCTCTCTTGGTCTCTCTCTTGGTCTCTCTCTAGTCTCTCTCTGGCCTCTCTCTCTGGTCTCTCTCTGGTCTCCCCCTCTCTGGTCTCTCTATCTCATCTCTCTTTTTGGTCTCTCTCTGGTTTCTCTCTGGTCTCTCTCTAGTCTCTCTCTGGCCTCTCTCTCTGGTCTCTCTCTGGTCTCCCCCTCTCTGGTCTCTCTATCTCATCTCTCTTTTTGGTCTCTCTCTGGTTTCTCTCTGGTCTCTCTATCTCATCTCTCTTTTTGGTCTCTCTCTGGTTTCTCTCTGGTCTCTCTCTGGTCTCTCTCTGGTCTCTCTCTCCCTATAGTCCCTTTGGTGTCTTTCTCTCTGGTCTCTCTCTGGTCTCTCTTTAGAACACATCACCCCTGCGATAAACCAGGGACCACAGTACACACATTTGTACCTCTATCCCAGTTGTAATAACACAAAAACAGCACACACAGCTCTTTCTCCAAAATCAATTTTCTTGTAGTAAATTGAAACATATCGTCTGGACCCAGCAGCAGCGACAGCTCTTCACACACGTGTGTGTAACTATATAGATATAGATACACACATGTGTGTATCTATATGTATACAGATATCAACACATCTAAATAGAGACTGGATTTCAGAAGAGAGTGCAATTGACGGCTCCATTAATAGAGGGTGAATCAGAAGCAAGTGTGTGTGTGTGTGTGTGTGTGGGGGGGGGGGGGGGGGTTGTGCGTCCTGATGTGTCTGTGTAACGAATGATGGTGTTCAGAGGTTAGACCAACACACGTGCGCACATACACTTACCGAGAGGGGAACCGCAATGATGAACGGAGAAGGAGAGAGAGAGAAGTAGAGTGTGTGCCCGAACACCGGACCCCACTGGTCCAAGCTTAATAATCAATGGGTAATGCTTTTCTAACGGTCCTTATGCAGTCTCTGTAAAAATATGGAAAAGACCCCTGGAGGTTTACTTTCCTGAAAAAAGTGTGTTATGTGTCGGAACCCTGGTGGTGGGTTGCGGAATATCAAGGAGGGGCACACTGGGGCAATTTCAGTCCAGCAGGCTGGAGCCAATCATGGAGCAGCACAACAGAGGAAATCAGGTGTCAGGCTAGAAAAGGTGCAAGTGTGTGGTTCATTAGGCTGCAAGAAATCATGGAGGAGCACACTGAAGCGCACGCTTACAAACCACTGGTAAGTGCTGACTACAAGTCATGACTTCAAATTGTTATATAGAATTATTACAAATTATTTTTTGTTTGTGCAGCTTAGTCAAGAGTCCCTAATTGATGAAGTCGACTCAGATTCTGACAATTTAACTGTCAAGAAGAAACCTGTAAAAAAGTATGGAAAAAGAAAAATCAAAAACACTTTTCTTCAAGACTCGGAAAGTGACGAACCAAAGGCAAATAAGATTGTTATCATGCAGCTGCAAAAGAAGAAAAATGGGGGGAGAGTTTACAGCAAGAGACACTTCTGCCTCTACTGTTCAATGTCCTGCCACAAAATGTCCCGTCATTTGACTAGAAAACATGGAAATGAAAGTGACGTAGCCAGAGCATTGGCTCTACCTGTGAAATCTAAAGCACGTAAACTTCAGTTTGATTTGATCAGGAATAGTGGAAACCGTGAGCACAATTTTGAGGTTTTAAAGGCCGGCATTGGAACTTTAGTCCCAGCTAAACAGCCAAATTGCCCAGTTAAATCCAGTGAGTTTTTGCACTGTATAGACTGTGGGGCATTGCTTAAGCGAAAGTCGCTGTGGAGGCATGTGGCCAGGTGCCGGCTTTCACAGAAAGATGCCCAGGCTAAACCAGGTAGAAGTAGGGTCCAGTCCCTCTGCTCCCTAGCCCAGCCTGTACCGGAGGGCATCAGCAAAAAGCTGTGGTCTTTAATTTCGGCAATGCATCAGGATGAGTGTTGTCGAAGCAGAAAAGGGGATTCTGAGACTCGGAGAGCACCTGTACCTAAAACACGGGCATGATAAGACTAAGCATGATTACATTAGGCAGAAAATGAGAGAAGTCGGTAGGTTAATTAACGAAGCAAAAACCGCAGGGAAACTGAAAACAATTAAGGATTTCTTTATTCCTTCCAACTTTAACCATGTGATTGATGCAGTCAGGTCTGTGGCTGGATATGATGAGGAAACAAATCAATACAAGACTCAATCCTTGGCCCTCAAACTCGGCCATAGCCTCAGAAAGCAGATATTCTTGAATGTGACTCAAAAATGGAGCATTGTGTTGATGAACTCCATCCATCCATCCATTTTCTTCCGCTTTATCCGTTGCCGGGTCGCGGGGGCAGCAGTCTAAGCAGAGACGCCCAGACTTTCCTATCCACACACACTTCCTCCAGCTCGTCCGGGGGGACCCCAAGGCGTTCCCAGGCCAGCTGAGAGACATAGTCCCTCCAGCGTGTCCTTGGTCTTCCGCGGGGCCTCCTCCCGGTGGGACGTGCCCGGAACACCTCCCCAGGGAGGCGTCCAGGAGGCATCCGGAACAGATGCCCGAGCCACCTCAACTGGTTCCTCTCGACGTGGAGAAGCAGCGGCTCTACTCCGAGCTCCTCCCGTGTGACTGAGCTCCTCACCCTATCTCTAAGGGAGCGCCCAGCCACTCTGCGGAGGAAGCTCATTTCGACCGCTTGTATCCGCGATCTCGTTCTTTCGGTCATTACCCAAAGCTCATGACCATAGGTGAGGGAGGGAACGAAGATTGACCGGTAAATCGAGAGCTTTGCCTTTCGGCTCAGCTCCCTCTTTACCACAACGGTCCGATACAGCGACCGCATCACTGCGCACGCTGCACCGATCCGCCTGTCAATCTCACGCTCCATTCTTCCCTCACTCGTGAACAAGACCCCGAGATACTTGAACTCCTCCACTTGAGGAAGGAACTCTCCACCCACCTGAAGAGGGCAGGGCACCTTTTTCCGGTCGAGCACCATGGCCTCAGATTTGGAGGTGCTGATTCTCATCCCAGCCGCTTCACACTCGGCCGCAAACCGTCCCAGTGCATGCTGCAGGTCCTGGTTCGTTGGAGCCAACAGGACAACATCGTCCGCAAACAGCAGAGATGAAATCCTGTGGTCCCCGAACCGGACCCCCTCCGACCCCTGGCTGCGCCTAGATATTCTGTCCATAAATACAGTGAACAGAACCGGTGACAAAGGGCAGCCCTGTCGGAGGCCAACATTCACCGGGAACAGGTCTGACTTACTGCCGGCAATGCGAACACAGCTCTGGCTCTGGTCGTACAGGGACCGGATGGCCCTCAGCAGAGGACCCCCGACCCCGTACTCCCGGAGAACCCCCCAAAGGACACCCCGGGGAACACAGTCGAACGCCTTCTCCAAATCCACAAAGCACATGTGGACAGGTTGGGCGAACTCCCATGAACCCTCGAGTATCCGATGGAGAGTATAGAGCTGGTCCAGTGTTCCGCGACCGGGATGAAAACCACACTGCTCCTCCTGGATCCGAGATTCGACCATCGGCCGTAGCCTCCTCTCCAGTACCTTGGAGTAAACCTTACCAGGAAGGCTGAGGAGTGTGATCCCACGATAATTGGAACACACCCTCCGGTCCCCCTTCTTGTAGAGAGGGACCACCACCCCGGTCTGCCACTCCATTGGCACCGCCCCCGATCGCCACGCGATGTTGCAGAGACGTGTCAGCCAAGACAGTCCTACAACATCCAGAGACTTTAGATAATCAGGGCGGATCTCATCCACACCCGGAGCCTTGCCACCATGGAGGCTACCAACCACCTTGGTGACCTCAGCCAGGGAGATGGATGTATCCGCCCCAACATCCTCAGCCTCTGCCTCTGAAACAGAGGACGTGACGGGGGGATTGAGGAGAACCTCAAAGTATTCCTTCCACCGCCCGACAATATCCCCCGTCGAGGTCAGCAGCTCTCCACCCGCACCGTACATGGTGTTGGCAAAGAACTGCTTCCCCCTCCTGAGGCGCCGGACGGTTTGCCAGAATTTCTTCGAGGCCGACCGATAGTCATGCTCCATGGACTCTCCGAACTCCTCCCAGTCCCGGGTTTTTGCCTCTGCAACAGCCCGGGCCGCGGCACGCTTGGCCTGCCGGTACTGGACAGCTGCCTCAGGAGTCCCCCGAACCATCATGGCTCGATAGGACTCCTTCTTCAGCCTGACAGCATCCCTTACTGCCGGTGTCCACCACCGGGTTCGGGGATTGCCGCCGGGACCAGCACCAGAGACCTTGCGACCACAGCTACGAGCCGCCGCATCGGCGATTGAGGCAGAGAACATGGTCCACTCGGACTCCATGTTCCCCTCCTCCACCGGGACCTGGGAGAAACTCTCCCGGAGGTGTGAGTTGAAAGTCCGTCTGACAGGGGGCTCAGCGAGACGTTCCCAGCAGACCCTCACTATACGCTTGGGTCTGCCAGGTCTGACCGGCTTCTTCCCCTGCCAGCGGATCCAACTCACAACCAGGTGATGATCGGTTGACAGCTCCGCCCCTCTCTTTACCCGAGTGTCCGAGACACGCGGTCGAAGGTCAGATGATACGACAACAAAGTCGATCATCGACCTCCGGCCTAGGGTGTCCTGGTGCCACGTGCACTGGTGGA